TAACAGCTTGTTAATTAATGCATACAGATACATTGCTTTAGGAAGGATCAAAAATAGAAGACACTGAACCCCACTATTAAAGGTAACAGGGAAATCCCACAGACAGCAATGTTTGCAACACGCTTGCTTCAGCTTCCTGCCTTTGTTAAGGGGATTTGTTTCACAGAGGTTTCTGAGGCTATTACTAACATCACCTATTTAAGTTCACTAGTAAGGAACGAGCAATTCCGCTCCCTCAACACCACTGCGACCCTTCCCCCCAAAATAAAAATTTTAGCATAGAGGTCAGGAGTGTAGAGGTTAAAAAAAATAGAGAAAAAGGAAAAAACCAAAAAGCAAGGCAATGGCCTTCATGTTTCTTGTCTCAGCTCCTCCCCTTCCTGCCAAGTGCCTCATTAAGGTGGTAGTGAGCAAAGCCCTTCTCACCTGGGAACTGCTCTGTGCTCCTGGGTGATGCAGCAGATTCTCAGTTAAGTCTCTGCACAAAATGGTGTTTTTCCAGAAAATCATGTTTTGTAAAGGTTGTGTTACTGCAATGTTCGCTCTGTCTATCTCAGTATATTCCAAGATTGAGGAACGTTAATCATCTTTCTTCCAGCAGCCAAGCAAATAGTTTTTGAATCCTTCCTTGTGTTTGGATTTATCTGCTTTGGAGCATCTTCAGAAGTGGTACACAGAAAGTGCATTTTCAAGCTGAGGAATGGAGATTCTCTGCATCAGTGGTGAAAACTGGGGCTGAGAAAGGCTGTGGCAGCTCTGCCCTCAGGCACAGAGCAGCTCTGCTGAGAATATTCCCAGTAGGGAAAGGTTTTTGGTTTTTTTGCAATGCAGTCTGGTGTTCAACTGCTCTTACCAGACTAAAGTGCTTTCTGGATGTCTCTCTCTGCGTTTCTGGGGCTCAGTTTAAGATTTCTGTTTTCCTCTGGTCTTATTTTGCTGTTTATGTGGTCTGTTTTCTGCTGCTCGCAGGTTTCAGAGCTCTGGCTTAAGATCAAATCACCCTGAGGTGGAAGATTTGAAGCTGAAGAGGTTCCAGGTGATCCTGAACTGCATGCTTTGTTAATCCCTCCTAGCAGATGAAAAGAAGCAGTAAGCCTGTGTCAGGTGGATCTCCTCTCTTGCCCTGTAGCCATGCTTTCAGTTTCAAGCTAATTTCCCATCGTAAGTCTCTTACTTTGTGGTCAGATTCACCTTCCCCTAGAAGCAACCAGAACTAACCAAAACCTAGTGAGAAAATTGAAGGTGGTAAGAATGTAGCTTTGGATGGATGTCAAGCAAGCCATCTCTTCTACTATTTTTTTTCTTTTAGCTAGAAGATTCTGGGATGCCTCCTAATTAAAACATGCTCGTTTTGCTACCCCCCAACAGGTGCTTCCTGCCCACTACCCTCCAGCACCATTTTTCTTTCACAGAAGCCCTGCTTTCCTTGCATTCTTGCCTGCAATTCTTCAGGAGATAGAATCTAAAGAATTTTAAGTTCTTTAAAATGAATCTCCTGCCAAAATTCAGGTGTGCAAATCCTCTGTAAATTGGGATTAACCAATCCTTTACTAATCCAAAACTAATATTTTGCAAATTGTGGTGTCAGCCGTTACAATCTAAACCTGCTCTAAACAGATCAAGTTCAGAGCTGGTTTCAAACCGGTCTTGCAAACTACAACTTTAATGAAAGCACAAAATTCTTTCCAAGTCTAATTAGTCTTTCAGTTTGCTTGCACCAGACTGGAGACAAGAAAAAATCCTTTGTAATTCTTGAAAGAGAAAGCTGAGGCTTCCCCTTGTTATAGCAGAGCTTTAATCCAATGAAGTTGACACTTTGGAGATGGCATGAGCTGCTTGCTTATCAAAAAGCAGGGGCTGCCTGGCCTCTTGTGTGGAGCTCCACCTGGCAGCATTGAAGGCAGAGTGCTGTTTTGATAATGGCTGTTAATTAAGTGGCTACTTGCGTAGAGGCAGTCACGTGAAATCAAGAATGGGGAAACGTGGGGTGAATGCTAGCAAGCATTGCTCTCCCAAAAAGCAGCAGAAACCCCTATTGCTGAGATACTTTGTGCTCAGACCATATGAAGTCGCAAGGAACTGCAGCAGGAACAAATCGCATCGCCCTGCTGTTAACTTGCAGTGACCCAGCTATTACTCAATTCCAGTGATAATTTTGGTGATAATTACTCCCTTTATTTCTGAAGTGAGTTGTTGTAATTCATTATAGTCTTGTCTAGCGGGTCAAATTACTAGGAAAGTGAAGCAGATAGAAAATGGATTGGTGACACAGTTCTTGGGGCCATAGCTGTTTGATCAGTGACTTGACGCCAATGTGTAGTTTTTAATTGGCCATTGGTCACATTTCAGTTTTAAACTGTTTGAACTTCTGCAGCTCCTGATGCTGCTGTGAGCTGCCTGCTGTCTGTGTACTGGTCCTTAATGAGCAACTGGAGATGTTTTTCTGTGAGTCTTTGTCCCTGCACTGTTCTCATTTCCTGGATGCAGCCCTTTGCTCTGAATTCAAGGGGTTCGATGTGTAGCAAGAATTAATGATTGAAGCATAATTAGAACAAACATCCAAGGAAGCTTTGTGCTGTTGGTTGTGTGTAAACTGAACATCTCGCAGTTACCATCTCCCCAGAGCACCTGAAGAAACGCTTAAACTGCAGTGAAATCAAAGGGTCCTCTGTATGTGCTTACAAACGTGCAGGCTGCAAAATGCTGCTGCTAATTTGCCCCAACCATTAATGCTATGGTGAACATGTGTGCCTGAATTGCCAAGCGAGCAAAGGCTGTGATTCCCAAGATGTCTTACTAATTACCATGGCTGTGATTTAATGTTAATTATTTATTATACTTTATTATGTTCTATAGCTCAGTTAGCTCAAAACAAAAACCTGAAATGTTGGAATTGTGATCCTTCGTTCTGGCAGTGTGATATTAAAACTTTTCTAAGAAGAACTTTGTTCTAATTATAAGGTATGTGCTAAAGCTTCATTAATTTATATTACAGAGCTAATTGCAAGTCCTTTTCAACAATGCTCGTTCTGCTACAAGGGCCAAATTCTACAGTAGTAGTACAGAATGCAATGGATAAACGGGGCTTTTCTTGGAACAGTTCCTTCTGTATAGGGGTGAGGATGGCTTAAAGGGAGCCTGAAGCAAGAGGGATGGCAGCTTCTGTGCCAGCTCTGGAATAAAGTGAAAATAGAGATCTGTAGAGTTGGGTGGATTTGTTCCGAGCTCTGGGAAATGTGGGCCATGTGTTAAGGGAAGGCCCTCAGCACCGCGGTGATCCAGGAGGAGCTCTTGATTGTGGACATTTTCCAATGTGTTTGCTTCTCTAGGTTTCTGCCTTGTTCTCAAAATGGAGTAAGCAAAAAATGTGGCTCCAGATATTCCCAAACTTAGGTGAGTTGCCTCTCTAAAGCACACACCATATGTGGTGAGTTCCAATACTGCTTTTTGTTCCCATGAATTTTTTGATGTGCACGCATGGCCTTTGAGGAATGTACTGATAAGGATGCTTTTCTACAAAGCAACCCGCAGGCTGGACTGGTTCTGGGTTTCTGGTGTGCACCAGGCATGGGGAGCTTGTCTGGGGGTGCTCAGTGCACCAAATGCAGGAAGGCTGTGGATGCTTTGGCTCTAGAGGTTTCCAAGGGAAGTAGGATGGAGCCCTGGGCAAACTGGGCTAGCAGGTCTGCAGGTTGGTGGCCCTGCTTGTGGCAGGGGGTCGTAACTCAATGATCCTTGGGGTCCCTTCCAACCATTCTATGGTCTGTGTTGTGCTGTGGTTGATGAGGAGCTGAGCAGTCTGTCTTTGAGCTGGAAGTGCACGAGCAGTGTGGGAGAGTCGCGTGGAGGCACATCGACGGAGTGCCCGGTTTGCGGGATGAGCTCATGATGCTCAAAGCGCAACCTGGATGAGCAAACCCTGCCCTGCCGGCCAAGAATGGCAGCGTTTGCACAAATATCTGCCAACCGATGACTTTCACGAGGTCTTCAACAGATGGTGCCGAAGAGATGGCCGCAGCGCTGCGCGTTAATTACGGGACCGGTGGATGCAGGAGGGCCGGGCCGGGGCTCTGCGCTGGGAAAGGCAGCAAAAATGGCTCCGAGGGGGGAACGGCAGTGAGGGCTCCTGGGTGAAATCAGAGCCCGAGGGTGCGGGTGGGATGGAGAGCGTCCAGGAGGGCGGGGGAGGCACGGGTGCGACGGCAGCGCAAGGAAATGGT